CAAGCCTCGCAACGTTCAGTGGTACTCCCTCACACCACCGACGTGCCTGACATGCCCTGATGGGGCGTCGTCGCGGTCCTCACCCACCACGCCGTGCAGGAGCCCAGGTAGACTAGGCTCTCCGCGGGCGGCGGGCAGCGGGCGTCGCGGCCAGGGCGGCGCCCCGAGGCCGTGCCCTGATGGGGCGTCGTCGCGGTCCTCACCCACCACGCCGTGCAGGAGCCCAGGTAGACTAGGCTCTCCGCGGGCGGCGGGCATCGGGCGTCGCGGCCAGGGCGGCGCCCCGAGGCCGTGCCCTGATGGGGCGTCGTCGCGGTCCTCACCCACCACGCCGTGCAGGAGCCCAGGTAGACTAGGCTCTCCGCGGGCGGCGGGCAGCGGGCGTCGCGGCCAGGGCGGCGCCCCGAGGCCGTGCCCTGCACGCCGTGCAGGAGCCCAGGTAGACTAGGCTCTCCGCGGGCGGCGGGCATCGGGCGTCGCGGCCAGGGCGGCGCCCCGAGGCCGTGCCCCGATGGGGGTCGTCGCGGTCCTCACCCACCACGCCGTGCAGGACCCCAGGTAGACTAGGCTCTCCGCGGGCGGCGGGCATCGGGCGTCGCGGCCAGGGCGGCGCCCGGAGGCCGTGCCCTGATGGGGCGTCGTCGCGGTCCTCACCCACCACGCCGTGCAGGAGCCCAGGTAGACTAGGCTCTCCGCGGGCGGCGGGCATCGGGCGTCGCGGCCAGGGCGGCGCCCCGAGGCCGTGCCCTGCACGCCGTGCAGGAGCCCAGGTAGACTAGGCTCTCCGCGGGCGGCGGGCAGCGGGCGTCGCGGCCAGGGCGGCGCCCCGAGGCCGTGCCCTGATGGGGCGTCGTCGCGGTCCTCACCCACCACGCCGTGCAGGAGCCCAGGTAGACTAGGCTCTCCGCGGGCGGCGGGCATCGGGCGTCGCGGCCAGGGCGGCGCCCCGAGGCCGTGCCCTGATGGGGCGTCGTCGCGGTCCTCACCCACCACGCCGTGCAGGAGCCCAGGTAGACTAGGCTCTCCGCGGGCGGCGGGCAGCGGGCGTCGCGGCCAGGGCGGCGCCCCGAGGCCGTGCCCTGATGGGGCGTCGTCGCGGTCCTCACCCACCACGCCGTGCAGGAGCCCAGGTAGACTAGGCTCTCCGCGGGCGGCGGGCATCGGGCGTCGCGGCCAGGGCGGCGCCCGGAGGCCGTGCCCTGATGGGGCGTCGTCGCGGTCCTCACCCACCACGCCGTGCAGGAGCCCAGGTAGACTAGGCTCTCCGCGGGCGGCGGGCATCGGGCGTCGCGGCCAGGGCGGCGCCCCGAGGCCGTGCCCTGCACGCCGTGCAGGAGCCCAGGTAGACTAGGCTCTCCGCGGCCGGCGGGCAGCGGGCGTCGCCGCCAGGGCGCCCCGAGCCTCGCCCACCCCGCCTTAACCACGCCGTGAAGGAGCCCTGGTAGACTAGGCTCTTCGCGGCCGGCGGGCATCGGGCGTCGCCGCCAGGGCGCCCCGAGCCTCGCCCACCACGCCGTGAAGGAGCCCTGGTAGACTAGGCTCTTCGCGGCCGGCGGGCATCGGGCGTCGCCGCCAGGGCGCCCCGAGCCTCGCCCACCACGCCGTGAAGGAGCCCTGGTAGACTAGGCTCTTCGCGGCCGGCGGGCATCGGGCGTCGCCGCCAGGGCGCCCCGAGCCTCGCCCACCACGCCGTGAAGGAGCCCTGGTAGACACTAGGCTCTCGGCGGGCGGCCGGCGGGCATTTGTCACGGCCTGGGCGCCTCGAGGCAGTGTGTCAGTAGCAGCCAGATAGGATGCTTCGAATGGCAAAAATGTTCTGCAGGTGCCCTCTAAAAGAACCTGGCACAATAGTTGTGGCTCGCGTGTCGCTTTGTCTGGTTACCGCTGCGCAGTGTGTCGTCCATTGACGGTGGAAAGTGTCACGTTTTTTGGGCACTCCTCTCCCTGCGCACTTGGTCTGAAGCCCCTGAGCTTTGCTGCCTGAGCTTCGGAAGTTCCTGGTGCGTTGGTGAGAGGAGTTCAGGTGAGTCCCTCTTAATGGTGCGCTCTGTTACTACGTGTGCCCGTCACTCTCTCTCCACGCGCCCGTCACTCTCTCTCCACGCGCCACTCCCTCGAACCACACTCGATCGCCTCCATCGCTGGCAAGGTAAACCGGCCCCGATCTGTGATTACTGCTTTTTGCGCTCTAAATCTGACATGGGGCTGTACATAAAGCGACGAATCTCTCGTTAGGTCTGCATGCACGGAATGCCTCCCCGTCCCCGGCACCGCTGGGTTCAAAAAATGGGGGAAAGGTGCATTGCTGCAGTGGACCCGAGAGGGAAGACCGTGGAGGGGGGTATTCCGCTACTCTCTAAGTATGGCCTGTGAACCGAGGACTGTAAAATGTCGTTGCTCTACAGTCCAGGTTTCGATTACCGTGCAAAGAGTAGCCGGTTTATTATACTCCTCCCGCTTGGAACCCTGTGAGCTCACTGCTTGCTTGGTCGCACCAGTGACTTTTCTAGTGCGATACATTCAGTTCCCCTTATTTACTGTTTCAGACGACCGGGGTCCTTATTGCCAGCTGATTGCCTTCAGCCGTTCAGTGAGGACTGGCAGTGGTGCCGGAAGGCGTGCTCATCTGTGTAGTCAAGGAGTGGCCTCGGATTTCAAGCAAGACGAACGCAGGCCCGCTGTTCGTTTCGCAACGCCCCTCGCCTTGCAGGTAGGCAACCCATGTTGCGTGCGCCGAGAAGCGCCCGAGAGGCAGGCAAACAACCTGTCTCGCCAACCCCGCCGCCGCCGCCCCTCCCTCCCTCCCTCCCCCTTCCTTTCCGTTTGTCCCCCCTTCCCCTCCAACCCCACCCCTCCCCTTCGCTAATGTCTTCTGCTGGTCAACAACACACAACAACAACAACGCCGAGGGCTTCCTTCCGTACCAGTCTGGAACCTGATTGTTCCGTCCGAGCCAATGTCGCGCCCGCGTTCACCCTTCAGGTATCATGCCCTGCATGTTGTTCTGCGTAGTGCGTTCGCGTCTGCGATGAAAGTTGCCCCTTGGCGGGCTTCACGCCTCCCGGAATCTTGGTGCAAGAGCCGCCCCTAACCTATTTTGCCATTCTTAGTTCTCTCCAAGTGTATTCTGTGTTCCTTGTATCGTTTTCCTCGTTGCAGGGTCATGGATTTGGACTCGGAGATGGATCCTCTCGACATGCCGTTGCACCGGCATCCCATCTTCAGTAGATCCCATCGTCACAGTCATCGCCGGAGTATTCAAACTTCAAAAACCTATCTGCTATGGTCTGGATACTTGTCACCTGTCACATTCTCCTGTCCAAGGCTTCGAGGTAAAGTGTGTGTCGAATTCTTTGCTGTGTTGTCCATTCAAGAGTCTTACCGGTTCCCTTATATCATCATTACTCTGTTGTAAAGACAAGCCTTCACAATTGTGGACGGAATTGGTTGCACAGCAGCAGTGGCAACCACTTTTTAATTGATATTTATGATTGCTTTCTGTTCGTTTGGGTCTGTGTGTTCTCAGTATGTGAATAGTCTTTTGCGATGGACTATTTACAGTTCCATTATCGTATTATTTCCTTGGCCATTGCCCCTTTTTATTTTGGGAAATGCCGTATCGTGTCTTTTCCCTAAATGTTCAAAGTAAAAATTTCTTTTTTGTTTTTCTTGTGGTGTTCTCCATGGTAGAAAAATAACCAGTAAGATGGACGTTTCCCTTCACTTGGTACAAGGGCGACTCCTTTCAGAAATGTCAACAAATAGTTTCGTTCCATTCTTATAGCTGTTATGTGTAGATGACGATTTCATGGAGAATAGAATTAAACATTGCATTGATGTTTCAGGTTTCCTTTCATTATCTTGGAATTATTTATGCGTTTTGCTTACATTCCAGGTCCCTTTTCACTCAATGCAGTTTGGATTCCAACTCTAAATGCTAAGAGCTGCTTGCATGCAAAACCGTTCTGATCATCATGATGTTGATGTTGCTCTCTAGAATGAGAATGACCTCAATTCTTTTAAATGGATGGAGGAGGAAGCGAGGACACTTCTCAAAGAATACAACATTTTGGTTAGTAAATCTGTTTGATTTTTTCTCTGCGCACATTGTTGCATACTTACATTTAATTTTTTTAAGCTTCAGTCCCAGGTCTTTGACATTCTTTTCCCTTCCTCTATTTTCAAACGAGGTGCCATCATTTTTAGAATATATTTGGAACTGAACCTGAGGTACATTTATGTGTTGACTGAAAGGACCATTTGGAGGCCAGTGCATTCTTTTCAATTTTTCCATATTTATTTCCTTGTCTGCTCGCATCTTACATTATGAGAACAGTCAGTGATTGTTACCATCTCATATTTTCTGTTTGCATCAGATATAATATTCATTATCTTCACGTGTGCTCAGTGAAATAGGGAGCATGTAGGTGAAATGCAAATTGTTGTTATCTTGCTCTGCCTGTTCCATCCACTAAACTCGTCTCTGTTTGATGAATAACAGCAAAACGTTTGAACCCTCTTACTCTTCAATTTGCGAGTAACACAACTCTGATTTTATATCGCAGGTGTTCTAATAAAATGATGTCACTTCAGTACTTTCCTGAAGGAGTAATCAAGGCCAAAAACAATGTCTTATAAGTAAGTGTCTTCTTAGTTTTTTTTTCTTTAAAAATAAATTGCAACTTACTTTTTTAGCCTTTACTCATATATTTGATGCTATCTTTTGCAGTATTTATTCCATCTCTAAATGATCTGCAATTGGCGGGCACCTGCATTTGGATCATCAGTTCGTGGACCATTCCTTGTAAAGGAATTATCATGTCGATGGTGGTGTGGAGGCATTGGGAATAAACTGAATGGAAACAAAAAGGAAGAATGAATGCAGGCTGTCAGTCTAGTTGGTAAAATTTCTGCTACCCTTTCTCTGTGCTTAGAGATAACACTTTCCTCTATCTAACACTGCTTGTTTGCCCCTTTGTAATCATTTTCAGATCCACTTTTTTCTTTAAATTTAGTCAAGAAATTTCTGTGTACAAAGTGAATGGGGTTGTTTAGGACTTAAAATTTACTGCTTTGAATGATAACAATATTTCGTGGTAGTATGCATGGTCTTATCTTCCCAAAGCTCGTTTCAAGAGGATGGTAACGGTAATTGATTATCTTGACTTTCAGGTGAGAACCTGCTTAAATCTTTCACTATTTCTTTTATTGGTGTTGTATTTGTGTTTGATTTCTTTCTTTCTTTCTTTCTTTCTTTTTTTTTTTCACAGGAGATATTAAATTCTACAGTTTTTACAGTGAAGGCATATGCCCTGCCTTCTTTATGCTTTCTATCCTGTATGCGTAGGAAGGTACAAAGCCAACCAAGGCAAAGTTCCATACTCACTGTCCAGATATCTTCTCTTGGTTTTGGTGAGTGTTGCTTTTATTTGCCTGCTCATTCAGTTAAATATGGTATTGTGATTCTGATTTGTTTTTGTTTTATTTTCATACTCTCTTTTTCATTATTTTAATTCTTCTTTGCTCTATGAATTCTTTAGGAGTCTTGGTAAACCTTTGTGGAGCCCTCACAATGGATACACAGTGGATACACGTTTTGAAACTGAGAATCGCTTGGACCCAGGGCCAGCCACTCCGTTCCTATTCCAACACCCTGAGAGGACATGCTGTTCTTCTTTGTGAAAGGTAGATAATACCCCCTTTGACATGCCAGTCCCAAAGCGGTCCCAATACTTTAAATGCTCCACACAAATTTTCAACCAATGAAAGAATTTCTTCACATACACTTTCCTTGTGTGTGGCAGTGGTTATTGGAATGAGGTGTTTGGCATTTACAAAATGAAAGTGTGATTTACTCATTCAGTCACAGACACCTAGAGTGATCTTCTGCTTCATGATTTCATCACTAAAATATGATAACACCAGGGAAACGATAAAAAAATTTACATATGTAAATGGTCCCCAATCATTTTTTTTTCTTGTGCTTGTGAAAATTTGACAGTGTTGTAACATTGTAAAAACTGTTTCCAATTCAGAAATGTCCTCTGTAGTCTTTTGTGCTTCTCCCTGCTGTCCCCATCCTTTTTGGTCCTGCTTCAGTCAGAAAGCTGGGCAATAATGCTGCCGCCTGGAGTAGCTGTCTGTATTGACTGCATGATTATTTAAGTGTGTGGAAGTTATGGTCATTAATCTTATATATATGTTCACAGGTGCATCTCTTGATTAGTATCAAGATGGATATCCCCATCACCATGCAAAAACTTGTGCTCCTGTGGCTGTTGATGAGAGTCAAGCTATGTCCATTGAAGAAGAAATAGCATGTGGAGCTGGGTCGATGTATTATTAATTGGTGCATTGGAAGTTGCCTTGCTCGGAGGAATGGTTTGTCCCAGGGACTACTTCCGCCTTGGAGTGTTTAGATGCCATATTTGTGTGTGTGCTAACAAGTAGATTATTGCAATTAAGCTTTGGTTATTGATTATAATGGGGCACTATTTCTCCCACAAAATGAGATTGTATTTGTGTGCTTCAGTACTAGAAATAATGCAGACATACATGTTGAGTTCTATAGAACAATAGTTGTAAGAAATAACCCATTATGTATGGGGATCTCAATTTATTAGTAGACTCCCTAAAGAAATAGAGGATATGAGAGACAAACCTAACGTCTTTAAAAATTTTTTCAAAAAGTTCCTCATACAAAAAGAGCTGTATAGTCTGGATGCCCTTTGAAAATTTTCTCTGAAACTGCTTATATTTTCTATCTTATGCTTGTGGTGCTGTGCTTTGCACTTTGTTCTTGACTTGTGTAAAAACTTGTGTGACTCATATAACTTTTTACCGCAACAAATGCAAATTAAATAAAATTGGGGAGGCGGCTTAAAAAGTGTGTACGCAATTTGTACGAATTCATGCAATTTCTCTTTTCAAAAAGTGTGCAGCTGTGTTCGAATCCTGTTGTGAGCCTGTATTTGCTTTGTGTGTTTAAGTTATCTGGAATCATGACTAGCACACAGCAATGGACTTTTTGCAGTCAAATAAGTGTTCTGTATCCATGTTAGCTCATAAGTGAATCTTTTTGTACTGGAACTGTTCTTTGTTATATGATTTGTTCTTTTCATAAGCCTGTGAACTGTCTCCAGTTGTGTACCCTTGTATTCGCAATTTTCTGTTTTGTGCATGAAGGAAAGCAGAAAATAAGCATATTGTACAGCAGCACTTGCCACAGATACTTTGACTGTACGTGTAAGCACATGCGATTGCACTGTTTGATAAATAAAATGGTTGTGAAGCTCCTTGTCGTGTAAAATGTTATCCACCCCATGCAGAAGAATACCTGAATGAGTCAGGGTCGGTCCCAAGGACTTGGAGAGAGGAACAAAAAGAGAAGCATACAATCATCTCCACTTTAATATTTTTTTTTAAGTAAAAAATACAAAGCGATATTTAACATTGTAGCACAGACCAGATTAGTCCAAGACATTTCTAAGTCACAGACTGTTAACAGTCAAAAGATAAAAGACAAAATGGAAAGAACAAAAAAATTCAAAGTGATCAGACTGCTCATAGTCAAAGGATAAAAGACAAAATGGAAAGAACAAATAAATTCAAAGCGATAAGACTGTTCATAGTCAAAAGATGAAATACATAATGGAAAGAACAAAGTAATTCAAAGCGGTAAGACTGTTCATAGTCAAAATATGAAATACAAAATGGAAAGAACAAAGTAATTCAAAGCGGTAAGACTGTTCATAGTCAAAAGATTAAATACAAAATGGAAAGAACAAAATAATTCAAAGCGATAAGACTGTTCATAGTCAAAAGATTAAATACAAAATGGAAAGAAAGAACAAAAAAATTCAAAGCGATATAAAGCATCGTAGCACATACCACAAAACTTTCAGGACCTCCTCATTACAATGAATGAGGATGCATTAATCTCAGCAGCGCACCTTGCATCAGGGCATTCTGCCTTCTCAGCCAGTTGGTTCTCCAGTTGGTTCTGGAAGCAAACCCTGCAAATGAAGTGCCCACATGGCAGGATGCCTTCCGGATTGTCTTGGCGGCAGCAGGAGCACTCAGCACCTGCAGATGTTCTTGGGCCTGTAGAAGAGGCAGCAACATGAGCTGCGCCAGCAGGTGGAGCTGCCCTTGGGGCAGCTGCAGCAGCAGCAGGTGGAGCTGCCCTTGGGGCAGCTGCAGCAGCAGGTGGTGCTGCCATTGGGGCAGCTGGGGACGCAGCTGCAGGTGGTGGTGCCACTGAAGCATATTGATGTGGAATCATGAATGGGGCTGGATAATAGGGTGGTTGAGGCTGCTGCACTGGCTGCTGCTGCTGAGTGGGCTGAATCAGGCCCATCTCAAACAGGTTGCGCAGGGCACTCTCCACCACGTTAGGCCTTCCAGGCCTCTCTCTCCGTTCCCAAGGGAGAGTAACCCTTGGCAGTCTCTGAGACCTCAAATCTGTGGAAAGCGGGACAACAATTTTAGAACATTATTTCACCATTTAAAGAAAATGAAAGATTGAGAACCAGCTGCAATAAACCATGCTACGTACTGGGTCCAGGTGGAGTTGAGGCGAAAAAAGATGGCGGTGGCATGGATCCATGCTGAGGAGAATAGGCAGGAGATTGGTAGCCCATGGCAGGCTGTGGCTGATAGGCCAGCTGTGGTTGGTAGGCTGCCTGTGGTTGGTAGCCTGCCTGTGGTTGGTAGGCTAGCTGTGGCAGATGAGCTGGCTGTGGCAGATTAGCTGGCTGTGGCAGATTAGCTGGCTGTGGCGGATGAGCTGGCTGCTGTGGAGGATAGGATGGCTGCTGTGGAGGATAGGCTGGCTGTGGCTGCTGCTGGTAAGCAAAGGCAGCCTGGTGTCCTGGACCTGGCTGGACACGTCCTGTCTGCACACCTCCTGGCTGGAGACCCACATGCTGGGCATGGGCCCCCCCTGGGTAGCCAGGGTCATCAACCCTCTCTGCAAAACACCATGGAAATTTCATATTAGTATGGATAGAAAAAATCTTTCCTGTTGGGGCAAAATTTAATTAGCCCCTTCAGCGAAAACTTCTCGAGTGAATCTATAAGAGTACTAGAAATGTACACAGGACTACTTTGATAATGGTTTTAAGTTTCCGATAAATTATAAAGAGGCTCTATTTGTAACTCAATATTTTCCGTATCCTTAGCTGTAACCAATGTCAAAGTGTTACTGTGTAAATTTCAAATGCACAGGAAGCCACACTCAAACATTTAAGCTAAGTTTTTGATCTCCAATAATTCCTTTTTTTAAATGCAAACGCAACACTTGTCTGAACCTTCACGACAAATCCATTCATGGGTAAATTAGTTTCAGACTTTCCACCACTTTCACTTTGGGTACCCACACTCTAAAGAAGGGGGCATTAAATTTTGAAACAAGACTGTTACATTTACCATAGTTCACTCGTCAGTATGGGGTATAAGGTCTAGGTGAAAGCTCACACTCAACAGAGTTGTTGCCTTGAAAAACCGTTACTGCTCCGGAAATTGTTTTAAAAGAACCTAGGCTACAGTGCTTACTTTCCTTACTTTCAATTAGAGATTGAATAAACATGCGAGAAGAGGCCCGCATGCGAGAAGAGGCTTCCCTTTCTCCACTAGAAGAACACAAAATTATTCCTGCTATCAAATGGAATCAATAGCTCCTCAGGCGCAATTGGCGTCAATCGGAAAGCAGGAGCAAATGTAATAATTACCACGACATTGGATCAAAGAAACAAAGTAGAAAAATAAGTAAGAAAAAGTAATTTGGGAACTTTCAGGAGCTTCAAGTGGGATTGGGTAGGCAAAACAGCCAAGCAGGACCTAAGCCTAGGCGCGGTCAGAGAGGTTAAGTGGAACGCCACGCGAAACGATGAAGTGGTTCGCACGATGGGGATCGTCGAGTTTTCCCGAGAAAAGAAACAAGAGTTGTCAAATCAAAAAGATAATTTTAATGCAAGGACCAAAACTAGACCCTCATCGGAAACGTCCGCCCACTCAAGCCAAGCTTGGAGAACCTTTGGAGAACGCAAAACTGGACGAACCCGTGAAAAATTAATACTCCCCTGTTAGAAAGAATGGCTCAAAAGAAACGCAGACGAAATAATACATACCTTCCTCGGCTCTGTCCATCATTATTAAGAAAATTACGGACTTATGTGGTTCACTCGCTCGTTACCGGTTTGCCCGCCAAATGGAAAGAGAGAGACGCCGAGAGTTGAGAACGAGGCCGAATGGACCGGTGGTCGGAACTGGTCAGTCTTCTACCAACTCTTTGCCTTGCGAAACCCTTCAGAACCTGTGCCTCCTGTGCAATAAGACATACACTTTAAAAGCTTATCATTCTTTCCTCGATAATACAATGGCAAACACAATTAACCGACTCGGAGGCGAATTTCTAAAAAAGATAACACTGTGTAACAGATGAAGTTGGGTTGGTAAACTTCCGCCGCCTTCCCCCCGCCACCACTTTCTGAACGCACTGCACCTGCGCCGTTCGACTGTCAAGCTGTGCCTAGGCCACATCCGTTTCCCGTTTTCTCTCTTGTTGTTGTCCGAGCCTTTCCTTGTCCTGTGGTCTCGTCGTTACTCGTCGTGGTTCGTGGTTCATCCAAAACCAAAGAAGATCTTCTGTCTCTATTTCGCTCTTAAAGAACCACCTTCAAAATGGCCAATAGGCGGTCTTTGAGAATCATGAAGGACCTGTCCGACTTCGAGGTAAGTCACTTATGATCTCGCCTATTTTCTTAGGTTACAGATGGCGTCATGACGGTGCATCAGTGAAACACGATGCCCCACCTCAAATCATATTTATTCCTTTCAGGGGAAGACTGTCGGCATCAATTTACTAGAACATGACGACGAAACCATGTCGATGATTCTGGTCTGCTTCGAAGGGGTGGCGGACACCCCTTTTCAAGGGGGCACCTTCTTCGTGGAGCTACATCTACCCCCTGAATTCCCCTGGAAAGGCCCTCAGGTGAGTTGGTATTAGCACAGCTGTGATCGTGTAATTATTGTTTGATACTTTGTACATTTATTGTGGAATGTTCAGGTCGTTCTACGCACTCCTGTCTGGCACCCCAACGTGTCGCGTGATGAGGGAAACGTTTGCATGGACATACTAAGTTCCAAATGGTAAGTAATATGATCAAGGCCATTCAACTTTTAGTGCAAGATAAGTTCTTTTCACGTTTTTTTTTCTTTTCTAAATTTGTGCATGGTTTTGGCTGCTGTCGCAGGAAGGCAGGAACATCTCTATTGGAATGCGTGGAGGCAGTCCGTTCCTTGTTAAACGACCCTAATCCTGATTCACCACTAAACAGCTACGCTGCTGACTTATTGCGTGAGCATCCGCAGACATATCAGTTGAATGCGGCTTTGTGGAGCCGTGTCTATGCTGGTGGTAAGTTGTGTGCCTCTTATGGATTTAGTTTGTTTCGATTTTGGTTCAGTTCGCACGATCATTCCTTACAATTCACTTTCAGGCAACCAACCTGCGGAAGAACTGCAAGAGAAATTAAACTTTCTCCTGTCCAAAAATATTTCTAAGAAGCGAGCTCTCATTGAGGGGGCCTTTTATGCCTGGGATATCTCCAGAATAAAGTCAAGTGAGCCAGTCGCACTGGAGGCTTTTTAATGTAACATGTGTAAAATGTAACTCTGCAGTGCATGCCCTGCCCTCCTCCACAGTTTTTTGTCTTAATTTTCCAGGAGAGTTTACTACTCTTCTTGTCTCCTAAGATCATGTTTTACTGTCTATTGTCATTCCCTGTTCATTAAACTTGGAATCAGTACATTTTTGCACTAGTGTTTTTATCCCTCTAACAAATCCTTCTCCGCTTCAGTCACTGAGAGGCCAGTAACCGTGCTGTGGGGGATTTAATTGTAAATCAAGCAGTAGGCGCTTCTGGTGGGGTCAGCCAAAAATTTATTTTCAGTCAATTGAATATTACAACTTTCCTGTCACACAAATGAGTCACCACAAATTCTCTAGAGATAAACTGAGTTTCATCAGTCAAAAGCAGAGTATTGGGCACAAGGATGCCATCAGCATACCACTCGCACAGACAAGCAGATGCACCAATTTTGAACAAACAAAACAAACAGTAATCAATCAGATCTGAGACAACGAGCACACAAAGGCTCGGCGCGGCCTGCCCAAGAGAAGAGGTCCTGCTGGTCTCGGTCCAGGTGATGTGCTGCGCGGCGCACCCAAGCCTCGGTGCGCCCTGCAGCAGGACATGCCCCGAGGCAGGTCCTGGACGGCCCGCTGGTCTCGGTGCACGCCAAGGCGTGCTGCAGCTCCTTGGCCACCTTGATGTGCTGCGAGGCGCACCCAAGCCTCGGTGCGCCCTGCAGCAGGACATGCCCCGAGGCAGGTCCTGGACGGCCCGCTGGTCTCGGTGCACGCCAAGGCGTGCTGCAGCTCCTTGGCCACCTTGATGTGCTGCGAGGCGCACCCAAGCCTCGGTGCGCCCTGCAGCAGGACATGCCCCGAGGCAGGTCCTGGACGGCCCGCTGGTCTCGGTGCACGCCAAGGCGTGCTGCAGCTCCTTGGCCACCTTGATGTGCTGCGAGGCGCACCCAAGCCTCGGTGCGCCCTGCAGCAGGACATGCCCCGAGGCAGGTCCTGGACGGCCCGCTGGTCTCGGTGCACGCCAAGGCGTGCTGCAGCTCCTTGGCCACCTTGATGTGCTGCGGGCGCACCCAAGCCTCGGTGCGCCCTGCAGCAGGACATGCCCCGAGGCAGGTCCTGGACGGCCCGCTGGTCTCGGTGCACGCCAAGGCGTGCTGCAGCTCCTTGGCCACCTTGATGTGCTGCGAGGCGCACCCAAGCCTCGGTGCGCCCTGCAGCAGGACATGCCCCGAGGCAGGTCCTGGACGGCCCGCTGGTCTCGGTGCACGCCAAGGCGTGCTGCAGCTCCTTGGCCACCTTGATGTGCTGCGAGGCGCACCCAAGCCTCGGTGCGCCCTGCAGCAGGACATGCCCCGAGGCAGGTCCTGGACGGCCCGCTGGTCTCGGTGCACGCCAAGGCGTGCTGCAGCTCCTTGGCCACCTTGATGTGCTGCGAGGCGCACCCAAGCCTCGGTGCGCCCTGCAGCAGGACATGCCCCGAGGCAGGTCCTGGACGGCCCGCTGGTCTCGGTGCACGCCAAGGCGTGCTGCAGCTCCTTGGCCACCTTGATGTGCTGCGAGGCGCACCCAAGCCTCGGTGCGCCCTGCAGCAGGACATGCCCCGAGGCAGGTCCTGGACGGCCCGCTGGTCTCGGTGCACGCCAAGGCGTGCTGCAGCTCCTTGGCCACCTTGATGTGCTGCGAGGCGCACCCAAGCCTCGGTGCGCCCTGCAGCAGGACATCCCCGAGGCAGGTCCTGGAGGCCGCTGCTCACGGTGCACGCTAAGGCGTGCTGCGCGGCTCGGCCACCTTGTTGTGCTGCGAGGCGCACCCAAGCCTCGGTGCGCCCTGCAGCAGGACATGCCCCGAGGCAGGTCCTGGAGGTGCCGCTGCTCACGGTGCAGGCTAAGGCGTGCTCCGCGGCTCGGTCACCTTGTTGTGCTGCGAGGCGCACCCAAGCCTCGGTGCGCCCTGCAGCAGGACATGCCCCGAGGCAGGTCCTGGACGGCCCGCTGGTCTCGGTGCACGCCAAGGCGTGCTGCAGCTCCTTGGCCACCTTGATGTGCTGCGAGGCGCACCCAAGCCTCGGTGCGCCCTGCAGCAGGACATGCCCCGAGGCAGGTCCTGGACGGCCCGCTGGTCTCGGTGCACGCCAAGGCGTGCTGCAGCTCCTTGGCCACCTTGATGTGCTGCGAGGCGCACCCAAGCCTCGGTGCGCCCTGCAGCAGGACATGCCCCGAGGCAGGTCCTGGACGGCCCGCTGGTCTCGGTGCACGCCAAGGCGTGCTGCAGCTCCTTGGGCACCTTGATGTGCTGCGAGGCGCACCCAAGCCTCGGTGCGCCCTGCAGCAGGACATCCCCTGAGGCAGGTCCTGGAGGGCCGCTGCTCACGGTGCAGGCTAAGGCGTGCTCCGGGGGCCCTCGGCCACCTTGTTGTGCTGCGAGGCGCACCCAAGCCTCGGTGCGCCCTGCAGCAGGACATGCCCCGAGGCAGGTCCTGGACGGCCCGCTGGTCTCGGTGCACGCCAAGGCGTGCTGCAGCTCCTTGGCCACCTTGATGTGCTGCGAGGCGCACCCAAGCCTCGGTGCGCCCTGCAGCAGGACATGCCCCGAAGCAGGTCCTGGACGGCCCGCTGGTCTCGGTGCACGCCAAGGCGTGCTGCAGCTCCTTGGCCACCTTGATGTGCTGCGAGGCGCACCCAAGCCTCGGTGCGCCCTGCAGCAGGACATGCCCCAAAGCAGGTCCTGGACGGCCCGCTGGTCTCGGTGCACGCCAAGGCGTGCTGCAGCTCCTTGGCCACCTTGATGTGCTGCGAGGCGCACCCAAGCCTCGGTGCGCCCTGCAGCAGGATATCCCCTGAGGCAGGTCCTGGAGGTGCCGCTGCTCACGGTGCAGGCTAAGGCGTGCTCCGGCGGCTCGGCCACCTTGTTGTGCTGCGAGGCGCACCCAAGCCTCGGTGCGCCCTGCAGCAGGACATGCCCCGAGGCAGGTCCTGGACGGCCCGCTGGTCTCGGTGCACGCCAAGGCGTGCTGCAGCTCCTTGGCCACCTTGATGTGCTGCGAGGCGCACCCAAGCCTCGGTGCGCCCTGCAGCAGGACATGCCCCGAAGCAGGTCCTGGACGGCCCGCTGGTCTCGGTGCACGCCAAGGCGTGCTGCAGCTCCTTGGCCACCTTGATGTGCTGCGAGGCGCACCCAAGCCTCGGTGCGCCCTGCAGCAGGACATGCCCCGAGGCAGGTCCTGGACGGCCCGCTGGTCTCGGTGCACGCCAAGGCGTGCTGCAGCTCCTTGGCCACCTTGATGTGCTGCGAGGCGCACCCAAGCCTCGGTGCGCCCTGCAGCAGGACATGCCCCGAAGCAGGTCCTGGACGGCCCGCTGGTCTCGGTGCACGCCAAGGCGTGCTGCAGCTCCTTGGCCACCTTGATGTGCTGCGAGGCGCACCCAAGCCTCGGTGCGCCCTGCAGCAGGACATGCCCTGAGGCAGGTCCTGGACGGCCCGCTGGTCTCGGTGCACGCCAAGGCGTGCTGCAGCTCCTTGGCCACCTTGATGTGCTGCGAGGCGCACCCAAGCCTCGGTGCGCCCTGCAGCAGGACATGCCCCGAGGCAGGTCCTGGACGGCCCGCTGGTCTCGGTGCACGCCAAGGCGTGCTGCAGCTCCTTGGCCACCTTGATGTGCTGCGCGGCGCACCCAAGCCTCGGTGCGCCCTGCAGCAGGACATGCCCCGAGGCAGGTCCTGGACGGCCCGCTGGTCTCGGTGCACGCCAAGGCGTGCTGCAGCTCCTTGGCCACCTTGATGTGCTGCGAGGCGCACCCAAGCCTCGGTGCGCCCTGCAGCAGGACATGCCCCGAGGCAGGTCCTGGAGGGCCCCGCTGGTCTCGGTGCACGCCAAGGCGTGCTGCAGCTCCTTGGCCACCTTGATGTGCTGCGAGGCGCACCCAAGCCTCGGTGCGCCCTGCAGCAGGACATGCCCCGAGGCAGGTCCTGGACGGCCCGCTGGTCTCGGTGCACGCCAAGGCGTGCTGCAGCTCCTTGGCCACCTTGATGTGCTGCGAGGCGCACCCAAGCCTCGGTGCGCCCTGCAGCAGGACATGCCCCGAGGCAGGTCCTGGACGGCCCGCTGGTCTCGGTGCACGCCAAGGCGTGCTGCAGCTCCTTGGCCACCTTGATGTGCTGCGAGGCGCACCCAAGCCTCGGTGCGCCCTGCAGCAGGACATCCCCTGAGGCAGGTCCTGGAGGTGCCGCTGCTCACGGTGCAGGCTAAGGCGTGCTCCGGCGGCTCGGCCACCTTGTTGTGCTGCGAGGCGCACCCAAGCCTCGGTGCGCCCTGCAGCAGGACATGCCCCGAGGCAGGTCCTGGAGGTGCCGCTGCTCACGGTGCAGGCTAAGGCGTGCTCCGGCGGCTCGGTCACCTTGTTGTGCTGCGAGGCGCACCCAAGCCTCGGTGCGCCCTGCAGCAGGACATGCCCCGAGGCAGGTCCTGGACGGCCCGCTGGTCTCGGTGCACGCCAAGGCGTGCTGCAGCTCCTTGGCCATCTTGATGTGCTGCGAGGCGCACCCAAGCCTCGGTGCGCCCTGCAGCAGGACATGCCCCGAGGCAGGTCCTGGACGGCCCGCTGGTCTCGGTGCACGCCAAGGCGTGCTGCAGCTCCTTGGCCACCTTGATGTGCTGCGAGGCGCACCCAAGCCTCGGTGCGCCCTGCAGCAGGACATGCCCCGAAGCAGGTCCTGGACGGCCCGCTGGTCTCGGTGCACGCCAAGGCGTGCTGCAGCTCCTTGGCCACCTTGATGTGCTGCGAGGCGCACCCAAGCCTCGGTGCGCCCTGCAGCAGGACATGCCCCGAAGCAGGTCCTGGACGGCCCGCTGGTCTCGGTGCACGCCAAGGCGTGCTGCAGCTCCTTGGCCACCTTGATGTGCTGCGAGGCGCACCCAAGCCTCGGTGCGCCCTGCAGCAGGACATCCCCCGAGGCAGGTCCTGGAGGTGCCGCTGCTCACGGTGCAGGCTAAGGCGTGCTCCGGCGGCTCGGCCACCTTGTTGTGCTGCGAGGCGCACCCAAGCCTCGGTGCGCCCTGCAGCAGGACATGCCCCGAGGCAGGTCCTGGACGGCCCGCTGGTCTCGGTGCACGCCAAGGCGTGCTGCAGCTCCTTGGCCACCTTGATGTGCTGCGAGGCGCACCCAAGCCTCGGTGCGCCCTGCAGCAGGACATGCCCCGAGCAGGTCCTGGACGGCCCGCTGGTCTCGGTGCACGCCAAGGCGTGCTGCAGCTCCTTGGCCACCTTGATGTGCTGCGAGGCGCACCCAAGCCTCGGTGCGCCCTGCAGCAGGACATGCCCCGAGGCAGGTCCTGGACGGCCCGCTGGTCTCGGTGCACGCCAAGGCGTGCTGCAGCTCCTTGGCCACCTTGATGTGCTGCGAGGCGCACCCAAGCCTCGGTGCGCCCTGCAGCAGGACATGCCCCGAGGCAGGTCCTGGACGGCCCGCTGGTCTCGGTGCACGCCAAGGCGTGCTGCAGCTCCTTGGCCACCTTGATGTGCTGCGAGGCGCACCCAAGCCTCGGTGCGCCCTGCAGCAGGACATGCCCCGAGGCAGGTCCTGGACGGCCCGCTGGTCTCGGTGCACGCCAAGGCGTGCTGCAGCTCCTTGGCCACCTTGATGTGCTGCGAGGCGCACCCAAGCCTCGGTGCGCCCTGCAGCAGGACATGCCCCGAGGCAGGTCCTGGACGGCCCGCTGGTCTCGGTGCACGCCAAGGCGTGCTGCAGCTCCTTGGCCACCTTGATGTGCTGCGAGGCGCACACGGGCCTGGGGGCGCCCTGTCAGTTGAGGAGTTCCAGTTCTTTATGTTCGTCTGCATTTTGTACAAAACTAATTAATGAAGTTCAAAATGAAACTCTAATGAAAGCTATTGCATGAGTGTACTAAATGTAGGTGTTTCATGCACTTCACGAGAACTGCTGAATGTGTCCATAGCTGTTACGGTCTGTAGGAGTGGGTAAATACAAGTGCTCAAAGAAAGCTTTGTTACATTTATTGGAAGATGGAAAAATTTGTTACAAGAATTTTATCCTCTATTTTCATCCTTTAGAGTTGGCTGCAGATGCCTCACTTAAAGTTGTCAAAACATCTCAAAGAGATCATCCTGCCTTAATATTAAGAACAATACTTTTTCCGTTAACCAGCTTTGAGTTGAAAAGATACATATTAATATGAGTTATTACACTGAAACTTCAGTTAGGTCACTACTTCTTGTCAGAGAAAGACTAAGCAAAACAGAACTTTATTGCCAGCAAGGAAAAGGAAAGGTACACTAAATTAAATGCCTTATCTTCTCAGAGGCCACAAACAAAAAATTCTGAACGGCAAGTTGAATAGAACACTAATAATATAACACAAGGAATCAGCAGAATGTTTTTTTCTTATCTTTGATGTTAACACTGAACTGTTCTGGAATTAAAGAAAATAAGGTGGTGTTACTTTTTACTTGCTATGGAATGTAAGAAAGAGATTAAATAGGTCTCACCTGCCATGAATCTTCTTTACTGGAGTGCCTCCGTCAGAAGACGTTGAATGGAAATAGATGCAGCAAGTAAAAAGTTCACTAGTGTTTGATCTGAGGGATCTGGATCTCTGAGTAGGTCAGTAGTAATTCTCCTGATAAGTATATCATTACACAGAGCAGACACACTCCTGTGTCTGGTCGGGATAAGCCCTATACGAAGGCTGGCCAAGTCGTCTATTGTCTCAGCCTCAAACAAGCAAACTGTCCCTAAAAAATAAGGAGACTTTCAGCAAAGCATTTTTAGAGTGGAACTCTAATGGAAGCTACAAATTTGCGTTCCCCTGTTCACTCTCAAAATTAAATCATGAAGAGCAGAGACTTTACCTAGAAAGTGGTAGACGTTGGGATGATGAACACCAAATTTTCTACGCATTCTGCGATTGTTGCTTTCACTGAAAAATAACAAAAAAAAAACATTTAGCTGATAAAATTTGCTCATGTGAGACAATCATCAATGTAAATGTTGTTCAATATTACTTAGCATTGTTGGTACGATGATCACTTCCACAGACTGACAAAACTCGCCCTCTATTTGGGTGATCCATCCAACTTTCCTGGACGTAGGCAAGGAAAGGTCGGACAATCTCATATAAGTATTCACCAAGGTTCATAGCTGCGACACCAATAGCATTAAGACCCCTCTGCAACAGTTGTGCAGGGAGGAGAGGCAGTGTACAACAGACCCTCAATACAATCTCTACTTCCTGATAATATTGGATGAATTCAAGTCCAATGATTCTTTTTCCATTTAGTACCATTGCCTAGAAAAATAAAAGATTTAATAAAATGCAGAATACAAGCACAGTGCAATTAAATATGTGAGAGCAGTGTTATAATTAATGGCACTTGCTTAAATTATGTTTTTAAATTTTTTAAGTTTATGTATCTCTTAATGATTGCGATGAATTTTCATTCTTGTTGTTAGTTCCTATTTCAAGTGGGTGTTGAAAATATTACTTTTCTTACAGTAGTGTTGAGCAAACAAATTAATAAAAAACACCCTTCAAAAATTAACTGCCCTCAACATAACAATTAAATTTAAATGGAAAACTGCAGGAGAAGATGAATACAGAAATACCCAATACAAAATTGAACAACCATAGTACATCACTGTACAACCATTATATTGAAAAGTACACATTAATTTTCATTAAAACAAAAAGTAAGTTCTCACATCTACAGCGTGAAAATAGCATCCTTGAGTATCAACACCAAAGACAATTCTGAAGGCATTTATCATGGCGTCTTCAAAGTCGCATACAACTTTGGTAAAGATCCAATGCTGGAGGTGAGTTCTTATCAGTGTCAGAACTGACTCATAAGCATCCTGACTTTTGTTTTGCATCAAACACCAGCACAAAGGTATGACCTGCTCAAATTAAAAGCAAGAAAAAGTTAGTGAATGTCTTTTTGTAACCTCATAATTTGCTTTTTGTATCAATGGACTTACTGTGTGACCATGTACTGTCACTATTGTGAAAACCTGCAAAGGAAAAGAAAAACACTTTATAAATTTTTATCCCAAGGAGGGAGAAGTAGGAAAAGATAGTGACACATAT